ATATAATTTTGGCAATTAAGTAAAATAATTTCGTCATTAATAAAAAACTAGTTTTGTCATTTCAGTTTCATCAATTTTGTCATATTAAAAAAGGTAATTTCGTCAGGGATTACTAATTGCTATACTAGATGTTTGAACTTTTCTCCTAAGTATAGAAACATTTCATTATGGATACCTGAAGGTCTAGCAGCTTTATCTTTTGCTAAATATAAGAGAACTGAGCACTATTTATTATATGTTGAAGGTTGCATAAGATTATTGTATATATTCTCAGATACATAATCCTTTGGTTGATATTATAAGAGTTATTTACCATCTAGAGATCTTGGGAGTGTCAATGATAATGCATTATTCTGGAAGTGATTGATAGCAACTTTTTTAATTTCATCAAAATTTAGGGTAAAATGTTTAGAGTTATCATCATTGTTGACAAAGACTCGAGTCAAAGTAATTTTCCTCTTTCCTTTATAAAATAGAGTCTATCATTCTGCCAGGTTGATATTCAAGTTGATCACATTTTTTTCCGATAAGCGATTTGATTTGTGTATTAGCATTTTTTCTTGGCATTCATTTTGGTAAGCTTATATAAAACTTTATAGATGCAGCTGAGTGTTTTTTTAGAATCTTTGACATTTGATAAATTTAAAATTGAGGCAAAGGATCTAAAGGATATGAAATGTCTTTAACAATAGTTGTAACAATATTAAGATCATGTTTCCATTCTTTACCAATAGGCCAAAGTTGTTTTTTTAGCCTTTTTGAATGAAATTTTAAAAAAATCTTTTCAATTTTAGTGAGTGAGGGGTAGTATTGAGAAAGTTCTTTTGGTTTTAGTATACGGTCTTGTGTAGAGATCCATTTATGAGCAATTTTAGAATTACTAATAATTAAAACAACTTTTTTAATTTCATCCAAAGATTATTCATATTTACATAATTGGATGGGAGATCTTTTAAGCGATCAAGATTGTAATTGTTGTAATAGGTATTAGAATAATCAGCAAAACTTGTCCATTTGGAGGAGTCAATGGATTTGAGAAGAGAAACTTTTCTTTTAGTATTATTGATCCTCAAATGAGATTGAGATTCATGTTAAATATTAGAAAAATAAGTAATAACAATCTCGTGATCTGATTTGTATAAGTACAAATAAATTATATTACAATAAAGAAAGTCAGAAATAAGATTTTGGAAAGCAAAGATTGCATCAATATGACTGAAAGTATTCAATCTTTTGAATGTAAGTAAGGGTGTATCATGACAAATGTCATACAAGTCTAAGAAGTTTCTAAGTACAAAACCATATACAAGATCATACTTCTAATGAATGGTTTTACCAGAATCAATAAGGTATTGTAATTTGATTAATCTGCATTAAAATTGTTCATAATAATAATGTGAAAAACAGACTGAAGGCTATTATCTATAAGTCATAGTAATGTTGTTTGTAGGACTTTCTTTTCATTAGATTCAGTGACATGAATATTAACTAAGAAAACTCTTAGTTTTATATTTTCTTTTAAATAAAGATCAACATAAATATAATAATCATTATCCAAGAATTTTTTAGCAATGTGTTTTGACCAGGATTTGCTGATTAGTAAACCAACATCTGAAATCTTATTAGAAACAGAACTCCACAAAGTATCAAAATAAGAATCAGAAAAATATCTAAAAGATTGTGAAAATTGATGCCAAGTTTCAAATAAAATAACAAAGTTAACATTCTTTTGGTGAAAAGTATCTAGTATCTTGCTATTTTTACATCATCATGAAGAGAATATACATTATGAGTAGCAAAGGTGAGGGTGTTTCTATTTAAAATTAAATTTCTATCATTACTATGTGAATTTTTTAAGTTATTATCTATTATAAGGGTGAATTGATCACGTGATGAAAGTAAATTGTGAGGTAAGGGATCATTATTATTTGTTGGTGAAAAGCAGTTATCATTATTAATAGTATTAGTGAAGGAAGTATTAGGTAACAGAATATCATTTGATATATTAATCATTAATAGATGTATAATATATGGTATATCTAAAAGTGAAATGGGTTTGCATCAAGTGCAAACTGTTTAATTTGTTTGAACATAAAATCCATTTATCTTTTTTGTTTGATTATAATAGCAGCTTGTTCATTAACCATATTAATTAGGTCAGGTTTTGGAGTCACAGTTTGTGAGGATAAAGACTTATCATTGATGATTCAGCAATGCGAGATCTTTTGTTGGGTGTATCTTGTGATTTTGAAATTAAAGGAGAGGTATATGCAATAATAATAGGATCTTTTCTTTATTAACAATAGGTGATGGGATCTTGGAATCTTGATATGAGAAGAAGCTTGAAAGGTCTTTAACTTGGCAATTCTAGTATCGAGATCCTTCATATCTTTTTTCATATTGAAGAAAATGGAAAGAATTTGGTCTAGTTTGTTATTGATATCATTATTAGGGTTATGAACAGAATCTTTCACAGTTGGTTTAATAGTATTTTTTGGTAATAGAGGTGAAGGAATCTTCTTATTTTTGATAATCTTAGAATAAGATTTTGAAGAATGATTGGATCTATTGGAATCCACAAATTTTCTAAAACCAGCAGGTTTAAATTTGTTGTAGAGTCTTTGCATTGAATTATTTTGAGTAGATGTCCTTGGTTTAATAGGTTCTTCATTTTCATTTGGTGGAATTGATTTTTGTAAAAAAAAGCATTTCATGATAAGGTGAGTTGAATTGACAGCTTCTAGTATTAGAAGAACACTATATCAGTTAATTATTGCCAAAAACAAAGTTTTGTTGAATTACTTGGTTAAGAGCTTTCTTATTTTTAAAATGTAAAATAATAAAGGGATAAGGTTTATAGTTGTTAGATCTTAGAATATAACTGATTCTGACTTTAGTTGTAAGAATTATATCATGAAGGTCTCTTGCAGAAATACCAAAAGAAAGATTTATTAATTTGATGCCATGTGTATTCTTATATTTAATTTCTTCTGAAGACAAAGTATAAGGATTGATACGAAATGAATCATTCTGAACGAATCGACTTCATACTTGATAGAATAGCTTAATACATTTAGGATTTTTATAAGTAATATAGGCATGTTGCCACATACCTTTTACTGTTATTTTAAAATCAGTAACAGTTCCATATTTGGCAAAAACTTGTTTGATATTGGCAGGCTTCATTTGTAATGAAATGTTAGTAACATAAATGGTTCTTTCGTTGAATTGCATATCAGCTTTGTATTGAGAGAAATCACAGAATATTTCGATCTTAAGATCAGAAATAGTTACGTATAAAGCTGCAGCAGCTGCATCTGATATCACAAAGTAGATAATTACTGAATGCATCAAATTAACATGATGAATTGAAACTTCTCTAAATTTGTCATTTTGAGCAAAAACATTATTGATGGCAAGAATAATTTTGCTGTTGTTCTTTTCTTTGGGATAAACTTGATATTACTGGAAACTGCAAAGGGAGTAGCTTTTATAACAACTATAAAATTTTTTAAGTCTTCTTTCATATCATTCGTCTTCAAAATATTTATCAGGATTCAAAAGTTTTGACCTATTTTTAGATAAAGAAGAGTTTTCAGAGAGATATCAACTTTCATGTTATTATTATTATTGTTATTCAAAGGCAGAATAATTGGTGAAATTTTGTTAATAGTGGCAATTTTAGATATGTTAAAAATTTCAAAATCCATTTCTTTATTTGATAGTAAGCCAAAAACTTCTTGAATAATTTCTAATTAAGGTTTGTGGAAACTGAAGTTGAGGTTGAAGAAGACGAAGGAGCTAATGTAGAACTAGTAGCTTCCTTTAGGACTTTAGAGCGACATATAGAATGAACTTGAGGTCACTATTTTTTTGTTTTACAGCGCTTTTACGCTTCATAACTCTCTTGCGTAATGAAAAAGGTGGGGTAAAACAAAAGAAATCTTTTTTATACTGATTTATTAATTAATTTTTTGTTAAAAACGAACTTTTAAAATATTATTTTTTCTATGAAAAATTTGGTTTTGTAAAATAGAGGAGAGTTTTTTATTCTAATTTTTAAATAAATTAAATTTATGTATATCTTGATATTAATTATCAGTATATAAAATCTATATGCACAATATGCACATGAGTACATTAATTTTTTGTGTGCACATATACAATATAAAAAGTGCATAAATTATTATTAAAAATAGATAAGTACAAAAATGTTAATTTTACATAAGAAATTGTTATAATTTTTTATTTTAGTAATAATTAATCAACTTGTGTATATAAATTTTAACTTAGATTTTATACACTATTAATTATACATTATATAATGAATACTATAAAAGGAATTATGCGTTTTTATATACAAAGATTATACAAAGCAAATTGAGACTTAAATTAAAGCTAAAAATGACGTTAACAATACTACAGAATTCATTTTATACACTTATATATTAAAAAAATTTATATTCCTCATAATTAATTAAGTCATCCATAATTAATTACTATTCCATAATTAATTACATTTACAAGTATTAATTACTACCCCATAATTAATTATATTTCCTAAAATTAATTACTATTTACGTAATTAATTATGTTTATCCCATGTCTGTATATGACCATATAGAGGTGTTTATATGACTTATTATCATTTTATTAATTAATATATTTATTTTCCATTCTATATAATTATATTTCTATAATTACCATTACATCATTATTTTCACATTTCCCTATTGTTAATAAGAATAATAAAATATATAGATTACAATTTATTGATTTTAATTTGAACATTTATATTTTGACAATTATTAATATTAATTTGAGAAATAAGTTTATCTTGATTTGAAGCCTCATCATTTACTACATTAATTGAACTTTCTTGTTAATTAAAAATTGTTTATTGTTGAGTAATTTGTTTTAGAACTTTAAAAGGTCTTGACCAATCATGTGCTTTTAAATTAGCATTGCGCTTCTTTTTGTAAGTGGAATTTGACTTATAATTCATAGATAAAGGAGCTAAAGGAGTTCTTTTAGATCCATTTTCTTTTTGTTATTACTAAAATCTTTAAAAGAATTATTATTCAGAATAATTAAAGAAACTGTTTCATGCATAATTTTAGAAGTAGGGTTCCTTAAAATCGAATTAAATCAAATATTTAAGCAATTTGAATTTGATTTGATTTTTTCAAATCGAATTAAATCAAATCAAATTGAACTCAAATATTTGATCAAATCAATTTGAATCAATTTGAATTTGATCGAATCAAATCAAATTAAATCAAATATTTGTCAAATCAAACCCTATAAGAAATCAAAATAAGGTTTGTATACGTAATTAATGATTCTATATCAAAATTCCGTATGTTTTATAATGATTTATTTTTTTATAATTT